AGCTGATTTGACCAGCAACAGCTGCGAGTGGAAACTTGAACTGGGGAAGCCCATTTTTGCGCGCCTGCTTTTTCTTACGTTTTGAGGACCAAAAAAGGGTCCCTTCTTTGTCATATTGTTTTGCTTCAATTTCCATTGGCTTGAGGCCCTCGAGGCCTGCCTCGAAGCCTGCCTCGAAGCTTGCCCTGAGGGGTTTTGTTCTAATTTCCATGGTCTCGCGACACTGGAGTTCGAGACTTGCATTGAGGCCTGCCTTCAACTTTGTTTCATCTTATAAACTTTTTGTTTTGCTGCAATTTCCATCAACTTGAAGCCTCGAGGCTTGCCTTGAGGCCGTCCCTCTGCGCCAGCTGCGGCCTAAAATTCTAGCAAGACAGCACAGTTGCCGACTACTTCAAGTTCAACCTTGCTGGGACTTCAACAATAGTATTAATAGTTTCGAGTCCCCGTAAGCCTCGCTTTGCCCTTGTGCCAATACGTTTTGCGTCCGAGGCGTGGCCTCGGCCAGGCCTCGCCGAGCCTCGAAGCGCCTCGCTTGCAGGTTTTGGAACACGGGGACCGGTCTTTCAGCAACAGAACAGAAAGGGAAAGATTGTCATGACCAAGACAAGCAGGCACAAGAGGGCCAGTTTTGGGTTCGTTTTTGGTACCTGAAATTGATATGATTTTTGGAGACGGAGTTGGGGCCTCCCTTGTTCGAGGTTCTTATTGCCAACTCGGTGTTGGTTTGATGCGCTTCTACATTGGAACAGTGCAGCTGAAGAAGGTGCTTGGGTGGGCTTAAAACCGGACCTCCAAGGAGGCACCAGATTCAACCTGTTGAGGCTCCAGTTTTGGAATCCCGTGCAAAGGAAACGTATTTAAAAAGGGTCAGAAAGTGGGCCCTTGAAATCAAAAGTGGTTCCCCCTGGTGGGTCCAGTTTTGGCCCCTTCATTGTGGCAAATTTGTTGAAGCGTTTATTTCAAGTTGAAGCTGGTTTGACCAGCAACAGCTGCGACTGGAATCTTGAACTGGGGAGGCCCCTTTTTGCGCGCCTGCTTTTTCATACGTTTTGAGGACCAAAAAAGGGTCCCTTCTTTGTCATATTGTTTTGCTTCAATTTTCATAGGCTTGAGGCTCTCGAGGCCTGCCTCGAAGCCTGCCTCGAAGCTTGCTCTGATGTGTTTTGTTCTAATTTTCATAGTCTCGCGACACTGGAATTCGAGACTTGCATTGAGGCCTGCCTTCAACTTTGTTTCATCTTATAAACTTTTTGTTTTGCTGCAATTTCCATCAACTTGAAGCCTCGAGGCTTGCCTTGAGGCCGTCCCTCTGCGCCAGCTGCGGCCTAAAATTCTATAGCAAGGCAGCACAGTTGCCAACTACTTCAAGTTCAACCTTGCTGGGACTTCAACAATAGTATTATATAGTTTCGAGTCCCCGTAAGCCTCGCTTTGTCCTTGTGCCAATACGTTTTGCGTCCAAGGCGTGGCCTCGGCCAGGCCTCGCCGAGCCTCGAAGCGCCTCGATTGCAGGCTTTGGAAACACGGGACCTCTTTCAGCAACAGAACAGAAAGGGAAAGATTGTCATGACCAAGACAAGCAGGCACAAGAGGGCCAGTTTTGGGTTCGTTTTTGGTACCTGAAATTGATATGATTTTTGGAGACGGAGTTGGGGCCTCCCTTGTTCGAGGTTCTTATTGCCAACTCGGTGTTGGTTTGATGCGTTTCTACATTGGAACAGCGCAGCTGAAGAAGGTGCTTGGATGGGCTTGAAACCGGACCTCCAAGGAGGCACCGGATTCAATCTGTTGAGGGTCCAGTTTTGGACCCCCGTGCAAAGGAAATGTGTTTAAAAAGGGGTCATAAAGTGGACCCCCTTGAAATCAAAAGTGGTCCCCCCTGGAGGGTCCAGTTTTGGCCCCTTCATTGTGGCAAATCTTTTGAAGCGTTTATTTCAAGTTGAAGCTGATTTGACCAGCAACAGCTGCGAGTGGAAGCTTGAACTGGGGAGGCCCATTTTTGCGCGCCTGCTTTTTCTTACGTTTTGAGGACCAAAAAAGGGTCCCTTCTTTGTCATATTGTTTTGCTTCAATTTTCATAGGCTTGAGGCTCTCGAGGCCTGCCTCGAAGCCTGCCTCGAAGCTTGCTCTGATGTGTTTTGTTCTAATTTTCATAGTCTCGCGACACTGGAATTCGAGACTTGCATTGAGGCCTGCCTTCAACTTTGTTTCATCTTATAAACTTTTTGTTTTGCTGCAATTTCCATCAACTTGAAGCCTCGAGGCTTGCCTTGAGGCCGTCCCTCTGCGCCAGCTGCGGCCTAAAATTCTATAGCAAGGCAGCACAGTTGCCAACTACTTCAAGTTCAACCTTGCTGGGACTTCAACAATAGTATTATATAGTTTCGAGTCCCCGTAAGCCTCGCTTTGTCCTTGTGCCAATACGTTTTGCGTCCAAGGCGTGGCCTCGGCCAGGCCTCGCCGAGCCTCGAAGCGCCTCGATTGCAGGCTTTGGAAACACGGGACCTCTTTCAGCAACAGAACAGAAAGGGAAAGATTGTCATGACCAAGACAAGCAGGCACAAGAGGGCCAGTTTTGGGTTCGTTTTTGGTACCTGAAATTGATATGATTTTTGGAGACGGAGTTGGGGCCTCCCTTGTTCGAGGTTCTTATTGCCAACTCGGTGTTGGTTTGATGCGTTTCTACATTGGAACAGCGCAGCTGAAGAAGGTGCTTGGATGGGCTTGAAACCGGACCTCCAAGGAGGCACCGGATTCAATCTGTTGAGGGTCCAGTTTTGGACCCCCGTGCAAAGGAAATGTGTTTAAAAAGGGGTCATAAAGTGGACCCCCTTGAAATCAAAAGTGGTCCCCCCTGGAGGGTCCAGTTTTGGCCCCTTCATTGTGGCAAATCTTTTGAAGCGTTTATTTCAAGTTGAAGCTGATTTGACCAGCAACAGCTGCGAGTGGAAGCTTGAACTGGGGAGGCCCATTTTTGCGCGCCTGCTTTTTCTTACGTTTTGAGGACCAAAAAAGGGTCCCTTCTTTGTCATATTGTTTTGCTTCAATTTTCATAGGCTTGAGGCTCTCGAGGCCTGCCTCGAAGCCTGCCTCGAAGCTTGCTCTGATGTGTTTTGTTCTAATTTTCATAGTCTCGCGACACTGGAATTCGAGACTTGCATTGAGGCCTGCCTTCAACTTTGTTTCATCTTATAAACTTTTTGTTTTGCTGCAATTTCCATCAACTTGAAGCCTCGAGGCTTGCCTTGAGGCCGTCTCTCTGCGCCAGCTGCGGCCTAAAATTCTATAGCAAGGCAGCACAGTTGCCAACTACTTCAAGTTCAACCTTGCTGGGACTTCAACAATAGTATTATATAGTTTCGAGTCCCCGTAAGCCTCGCTTTGTCCTTGTGCCAATACGTTTTGCGTCCAAGGCGTGGCCTCGGCCAGGCCTCGCCGAGCCTCGAAGCGCCTCGATTGCAGGCTTTGGAAACACGGGACCTCTTTCAGCAACAGAACAGAAAGGGAAAGATTGTCATGACCAAGACAAGCAGGCACAAGAGGGCCAGTTTTGGGTTCGTTTTTGGTACCTGAAATTGATATGATTTTTGGAGACGGAGTTGGGGCCTCCCTTGTAATCTCCCATCATGAAGACGACTTGCAAGAGCACTAGTGCACTGGTACTACCGCAAACTACAGCTCTCATGATGCTGATGCTAGGAAAAGAACTACTGAGCGGACTCTGAGTGTGCCCTGAGTGCCATAGCTTTTGCTGTCTTTTTCACACTAGCCCATGTCTCACCCATCTGTTTCACCGTTATATAGTTTCTCACCACTTTCGTTGCGACCTGGCGTTGTCGGTGTTTGCTTCAAAGTGTCAGGGTGAATGTCATGCCTGGACGGCTGCTCTTTATGATCTCGGGATCCTGGCTGGGGGGATTCCTGGTTTC